ATGAGGGCGCTCTCAGACGGTGGTGACCGACAGCAGAGGGCTGGGACAGAGCTGGCTGTCGCTCTCCACTCGCGTGCCGTGGGTCAGCAGCTCCTCCACTGTGGTCCAGTCGTCCAGCAGCTTGCTGTTCCTCAGCCGGTTCTGCTTCATGTGGCTCAGCTCCAGCACCATCTGGGACGACATCGCCCCCATGCACCCGCCCGTCAGCTCCTCCCCTCCGCCCTTCCTCTCCCTGTGCTGGCGGGAGAGCGCCATGTGGCGCCGCCTCTCCGTCCGGTTCCAGTATCGCCCCGCCCACCGGCCGTCCTCGCCCTCCTCCTCTCCCTCTCTGGACCCCTCTCCTCGAACCTCCTCGTCCGTGGTGACCTCGCTGCGCTCCCTGGCCAGTCGGTAAGCTCTGGCTCGGAGCAGCTGATTCCTGACTGACTTCTGATTGGACAGCCTGGAGCGGGGAGAAGGTGGAGAGCGAGCGCTGCGCTGCGGGGCTCCGAGAGTGCTGTAGAAAGATGCGCAGGAGCCCTTCGGCTTCTCCGTGAGACTGCCGAGTGTCTGAAAGCCTCGCCAGTCCGACACCCCGCTGGAGCCAGATCCAGGACTCTTAGAGAGGGCATCCTCCTCCCTGCTCCGATTTGAGCTCTGGCTGTTCCGCGGGGAGTTCTGGTGGCTTCTCAGGCTGGTTCTGTCCACCCCTGGAGGGTGACAGTGGCTGGGGTAGCTGGCCCGGCTCCTCGGCGCCGCGGCATGGCGGCCGGGGCCGGGTCCGGGGCCAGGGCCGGGGCCGGGGCCGGGGCCGGGGCCGGGGCCGGGGTGGCTGTTCTGGTGGGCGTTTCTGGGGCCGTTGGGGTCCGTGGTGTGGGGGTGACTCGCCCTGCGGCGGCGCTGCCCCTCGCTCAGGTCTGTTATGGTCTGGCTCCTCCCTGGAGCCTCCATGGTCCCACATCCCCGATGCTGCTGCCGCTGCTGGTCCAACCACAGCGCCCTCCGCTGGCAGGGTTCAGTTTGACAGCCTGCAAACAGCAGAACTTAGTTAGTTTGAAGAACACATTTTACTCCATTAACCTAAAAAGTAAAACAGGGAGACCAAAATCTAAATTGCTCTCTAATAATATAGCGTTGATTAATTAAAGGTAAGATCATCTTGGGATTCATACACAGTATCCTCTCCTTTCTCAGGTCACATGGGACAGCAGCCCTGCTCCCATTGGCCAGTTTGTGTGGCTGAGCCCTGGTTTGAATCCTCTCCTCCAATAGAATCAGGCTGACATGACCTCGTCCAATCAGATCTCTGTATCTAGCTGGAACTGAGCAGGAAATGCTGCTTTTACAGCAGACTGCTCTCAGTGCTTTCTGGGGGGAGTTGTTCCCTAAATGTGCTCTGATTTGGTTTCTGTCAGCAGGACAGCAAAGGTAAGGCAGATTTCTGAGGCTGTATGTGGATCCTGAAGCAGATATTTGGAATCCCTGGTTTGTTGGCATTTGAAGCCTCTTTTTGGCAGTTTTACTGTCCAGAGTCTGAACCCTCTGGAATTGTTTCTAAACGAGAGCTTCATAATTGGACTAGAACTAAGTGAAGCCTTTCGGATTCTATGGCGTCCAGTGTGCTCACCAGAGCCCCTAATCCGTGGTTTGTTGGCATTTGAAGCCTCTCTTTGGCGGTTTTGCTCACCGATGGAGGGGGATGGCGGCGAGTGGTGGCGGGGTAAAGTGGGGCTCCGCTCGGCCCGGTGGAAGTGGACGGTGGTGGTGGTGCTGTTGCCCACAGAGCAGCGGGAGGCCGGCGGCGCCCGGCTGTGGCCCATCTGGCTGGTCTCAGGGATGGACTCCAGGTCCCAGCGTCCTCTCTGCTCCCGGGGGGAGTGGCCCGGGCGTGGCGGCTGGCGGTGGGCGTGGCCTGCGTGCAGCCGGCGGTGCTCGCCGGTGCTGACGCTGTGGAAGCCCGAGTCGCTGGGCTCCGAGGAGATGAGGGACTCGGAGGAGGAGGAGGAGCCCTGGGAGGAGGGGGTGTGGCCCGGGAGGGAGGACATGGCGTCCGTCTCCGCCTCCGAGAGCGCCACCCGGTGGTGGGGGCTGTCCGGGCCACAGCCCAGACCGCTGTCCAGCTCGCTGAGTGGGAGGTAGCCCAGAGGACGGTCGGGCCTCCAGCTCCGATGGTAGTCAGACTAAGAGAGAGAGAGGGGGAGGCAGAAGAACACGTCACCATAAGAGTCCAAAGAACTACAATAAAGCCAAAAAAGTCAAATAAAGCAGAAAAACACTAGAAGGAGAAAAACACTAAAAGTAGAAACCACTAAATAAAGCAGAAAGACAGTCAAATAAAGAAGAAAAACCCTAAATAAAGCAGAAAAACTCTAAAATAAAGCAGAGGAACTCTTTATAAAGTGTTTTCCTTTGTGTTTTTATTCAGATGGAGACCATCTGACCCCGGTTCTGCTGAGTCCGGACTGAGTCTGTTCCTGTCTGGTCTGAAAGCAGTTGCTGGTTAAACTAGAAACCATCAATATCTGAGCCTCTGACCACACCAGAGTCCAGAGAACTAAACTAAGAAGCAGAACCTCAACACTTGGGGCTCGTTTTAGACTCCGAGCGTTTCGGTTTCGCACTCTGAAGCTGGATTGGGGTGATTTGCAGGCCTGAGACTGGACTCCGCCC